TCATGTTTGATATGTGTTAAAGATACTCTCTCCCTCTGGTACCACAGACCTGGCTTTCACTAGATCAGTGATTTATATTTTGCATTTCTTCAATAACAGTTTGACTTGCCTCTTGGGCTCCTGGCAGCTCCAGTTTCTCAGGTAGAAACTGAACTTCCTAGCCTTAGGAACAAGGTTCCCAATCCCTGCACCTCTTGATGTTATTTTTATAGTTTAATTTTTCAAATTGTGTGTTGGTGTTTTGTCCATAAGTAAGTCTGTGCACCACGTGCATGCAGGGCCTGTGAAGGGCATCAGATCCATTAAAACTGGAGTTATTGACAGTTGTGAGCCACCATGAGGGTACTGGGATTCAGACTCTAGTCCACTGGAGGAGCAGGCCCCCTTGATTACCTCTTTAGTTCCCCATGTTGAAAATGCTGAGGGCCTTAAATGTGTCTAGTACCTTTCTCACTCCATCTTCAATTCTTTCTATTTTTTTGCAGTTTTGGGGGTCTCTAGTGTGCCCATTTTGAAATATACTCGAACCCTGACTCTACCTTCTTTTTATTATTTGGTCTTGATGCGGGGAGGTCTTCTTCCCTTCTCGTAACAACCACTGCTGAAATGAGGCAGCAGCGGCAGCTTCGTCACAAGCTCGTCTCTCTTCGTTCAGCTTATTCACCTGGCTTTCTATAATTTTCTGTAAGAAAACAATTATTGGATGTCAGATGCTTGACTGAAATAAACCTTTCCTTTGATATATTTTCTTTAAATTTAAGCTTAAGTAAATGTTCTGAGTATTACAAACTGTCAATTCTGCTAACCAGCTTTTAGGCCTTGCATGGCCTCATCCCACAAATAAACATTTTATATGTAAAAATCAAATGGGATCTTTATCTTTTACAGATTCTTTATAGGGACATTATTCCTGGAATATTTTAAGGAAATATTGTGCAAAGAGTCTAGCTTTTCACAAATCTTTTCATGGGTCCCATGAAAATAAAACAAACTCAAATATTTAACTTACTTGTTCCCTGACATAATTTCTCTCAAAGTCAATTTTTAAAGTGGTAAGATATTGTCTGTATTTGTTCAACTCTTTTAAGGAACATATGACCTAAAATTCAAAATGGAAAACATTATAAAGTTTGAAAATTACAACATGTTTATACAAGTGAAGAAGAACATTCATTTTAGTGACAGTTGTGGGATACAGTGTAAGAATGCATTTTTGGTGACATTTGGGTAGTCAGGATCTTTAGACAGTTGATGACCCACCAGAGATTTTTCTAAATACTTCACTAACATAGCTCCAACTTCAAGTTCCTTCTCGAGACATGAAAATAAATGTGTCAGTGCATTCACATACCAAAAACTGCAATTATCTTTTCCCATCACTGAAAAATTGTCAACTAGAAAGCAGCTTTTACAAGAAAAAACGAGGCATTTTACTGGCTTCTTTCTGTGATATCTGCTAGTGTTCTACTAGAAGTTGGCAATGGTATTAAAGCACCTAGCAAGTGCCTAGAGTTTGCTGGATAGAAGCAGGCCTCCACGCACTTTGTTATTGCTGGTGATGTATCCTCCCTGTCTTAGTTTCTTGAGCATGTCTTTTCGTCTGAAGTATGCTTTAAGATGTGGATCGTGAAGACTTTGGTAGGTGGTTTCCATGAGTCTACAGTAAGGATCACTAAGATTAAAACCAAAAGAAGGCCGATAGAGCTGCAAAAAGAAACATATATGAAATTATTGCAAATGCAAAATTCATGAAAATACACTTTTAAACATCAGTTTATTGAAATAATTAGAATGTTCACTGGAAATAAAATACACAAGCAGAAACTGAGGTGAAAGAATGTAATGGGTTGATCTGGGTAAATATAATGCCCTTCAGTGAACTTCCCTCTCTTCTCCCCTCTAATTTTTACTTTAGAGGTGGCACGTGGAATACTATTTATGAACTCTGTGCTTGATATACCTATAGCCTCTACCTTAGTCCAGTTCCCGTATACATAGGTCAGGATAGACTGTCAGCAAAGAGACGAGAGTACATGGAAAGTTTCAGGAGCCAGATGAACCAAGGCACAGAAGCAGAAATCAGCATGTTGTATATGTGTATGCCAGAAAGATCACAACCTGTCAAGCTGAGGCTGTGGTTGAAGAAAAGTCTGGATGGAGTGATTGCAGCTCTTTCTGGGGCTTTCCATCATTAAAGTGAGTTTAAAGACTTTAAAACATTGCAGCTCATGTAATTCCATTTGTGTGAAACTGAAGGTGATATACAAAGTGCGATCATAACAAAATGTTTCAAATTTAACAGCTAAAAAGGGCAAAGAAAACCACTTAAACACCATTAAAACATAGTTTACCTTTTCACTTATATTTGTGGTATAGAATATGTTAGTACTTCCTGGGATAATAGGTAGTTTCGCCCCCAGGGGTAAGTCCAACAGGCTAGATGGTCCAATCTTTGGAACAACAGGTTTCTGTTTCTTCTGTGGGAAAGAAATGCAAATGTTTGTCTTTTCTACTAGGAAGTGTTCATTTAGTTTACATCAGTTGTCACACCTGAACCAGATAGCACAACCCAGGTTGTTAGGCACCTGGGTGGAAGGATCCGTCTGGCTGCAAAGCAAGAAGACCTTACCTCCCCACTTCCTAAGCCAGCACCCTACTTCTGGGTCCTGCCCAGGTTAGTATAAGTCAGTGGCACCTTGAGTCACCCGTTGCCCTGGTCAGAAGGTGGGACGTTCCATTGTGAAAAATTCTGTCCTGTACCTGCCCCTCAGCCAGAGTCTTTCCCCATGATTCTACCTGCTGGCCTGAAACCTGCCCTGACCAAGAAAGAAGGGCAATGAATAAATGGACACTATGGAGGGCCCACCACTCACGGTACTACAAGTGTCTTTGTCAGTTTTGAGGTTGCCAGAAGCCGCTTTGGAGGCGGCAGCCTCGGCAGCCTTCAAACAGTTGTTCAGGTACAAGTCCATGGCTACCCGTCAGCCCCCAAGGGCTGGGGGCTGAGGGAGTGGACTGTCTTCTGGTCTCCCTTCCTGCGACTGTCTTCTCCGGTGTCCGGATCAAGACTGAGCCAAGGCCCTAGACAGCCTGGTAACAGGACCTCAAGAACGCACACATCACAATGCTGCTTTGCTGACATCCTTAGTGGGCGCCCTCAAGGCCACGCCCAATGGGCGTCGCCCTTAAGACACGTCATACCAGCAGAGATCACCCAGTAGAAGTTTCCAAAATAGATGTGGCTCCAACAGAAGTAGCTCTAACAGATGCCACTTCAACCGCTGTCGGTTTCTAAAGAAGATGCCAACAAAGACATTGCCTCAACACACACCGCCCATCTGACAATCCCTCCATGGGCTGCCCTGATAGACATTGTTCCAGCTGATGTCGAGCCACTGAGTGTCATCCCAGTGGATGTCGCATTAATAGACGTCATCCTTGGGCGCGGGTAAAGACCTGGGTGCCTCTCTTGGGGCGCATGCGCATCACGCAAACCTGGCAGCTTGAATGATTTGAGTTGGGAAAGTACCCTGAAAGGCCCTTAAAGAGTACCCTAGTGCTGATGCTGCCACATGGTTTAGCTGAAGAACATAGAGAGTTACAGGGTAGCCTGGCTACAGAGTGAAACCCTGTCCATAAATAACAAAAGAAAATGAAACAAAACCCCAAAGCTGTCAGATATTAATCCCAACAGACTTTGTGGGGTTTTGTAAGTTCTACAGCAATCATTAAAAACTATATAAGATGGTAATTTAAAACATCATCAAAAATTAAGATGGGTTTCTAAGAGTGTTCAAGAAACTTACAGGAACACAAGGCAAACCAAGGAGCAATTAAGCAAGTAGAGAGAAATGGATACTAAAATAGATGACTTAATCCTTCACATATCAGAAATTACTTTACATTTGATAGTCTTAACCTGACAATGAAGGGGCAGAGACAGGCAGAATAAATGAACAAACATGATAGCACTATATGCTGTCAATAAAAGACGTTCAGAAGATACAGTGACATAAGCAAGTTGAAAAATTAGAGGATGTGAAAGCATATTCAAAACAGATCCAATAAAAGTGGGTGTGGTCATATATTAAACTACATATTGTTAAAGACAAAAGGAAACATTATGTAATAACAAAAAGATCATCCCACCAGGAAAATATTGTAATTCTAAGTGTCCATATGCTAGATTGTAGAGCTTCAGAATACACGAAGCAGAAAACAGTAGAGATAAAAGGAGAAATAGACATTCAACACCTGCCAATAGAAGATTATATAAACATAAGTCAGGTCATCCTGATGCCTATTCAATAGTTTAAATATTTGTACCTACATAATGCATTCCTCAGGAAAAATAGCATTGAGTGAAACCCAACAAGCTGCAAGATGATATACCTGACATTTAAAGTTTGCTTATGATACTCATTTATGAAATAATTAGATCTGAATGTCCTCCAAAGGATATGTGCCAAGGTCTTGGCTTCCAGCCTGTGGTGCTATTGGGAGGTGGTGGGAACGTCAGGAGACTGGGTCTAGTAGGAGGAACTAGGTCACTGAGGACCTACCTTTGAAGGCTATAGTGATATCCAACTCCCACCTCAAACAATGTGCTTCCTGGCCACAATGCCAGGGTGAGCATTATTCCTCTTCTACTTGCCCTGACATAACATACTGTCTATCTGGATTCCAAAAAAGCAACAATGGCAACTGCAGATGAACTGAAGTCTTTAAAACTCTAATCCAAAATAACATTTGTCTTTTTAAAGTTGATACATTTCAGATATTTTTTACTCACACAAATAGTAATAATAATATAAAACAGTAGTTCCCCTTAGGAAGAAAGAGAAATGAATGAGATCATTAAGTGGATATGGGAACTTGGACTTCATTTGTTTTATCTTATTCCTTTTTTTAAAGAAAATGGGTATGCGTGTCTCTCTCTCTCTCTCTCTCTCTCTCTCTCTCTCTCTCTCTCTCTCTCTCTCTCTCTCTCTCTGTATCACATGTGTGCCAAGTAGGCCAGAAGAGGGTGTTGGATCCCCTGGAGCTTAAGTTGCAGACAGTTGTGAGCCAGCAAATATGGGTACTGGAAACCGAACTTGGTTCCTCTGGAAGATCAGCAAGTGTTCTTAACTGCTGAGCCAACCCTCCAGTCCCTTCATTTTATTCTTTAAAATAAAATCTGGCCATGAAAGCAGAATCAGTACTATTTACATGGAAAAGGGGGACAATCTGGAGGGGGAATGAAGGACCTTGGAGAGTACAAGTATGGAATATGAGCAAAGTAGAGCTATATACACATATAAATATGCACATTTATATATGAACATGTAATAATGAAAATTTTGTACATTAAATAAGCAAATTTTTTATTTTATTTTACAATACCATTCAGTTCTACATAACAGGCTCAGATTCCCTTGTTCTCCCCCTTCCTGCCCCCCTCCCCTTCCCCCAGCCCACCCCCTAAATAAGCAAAAACTTTAAAGTTGAGTTTCTTAGTTCCTTTATCTTATCTCTTCCTGTATTTTTAGAACATGTCAGTACTAATGTCTGTTATGTTATGATATTTAATATATACTGATGTAATCAATGTATAGAATATCTTGGAGTGTCAGAGCCTGTAGTAGCTTCGAGGGCTGCCTCTCAAAAGTGCCACAAACTAGATGCTTTACAAAACAGAATTTATCATTTCAGTGTTGGAGGGTAGATATCTTAATGTGGTGGCAGCGCCCCCACCCCCATTTTCTGGGTTATGGGTCTATTTAAGTGCATGGCTTCCTTTCAGAGCTTTGAGGACATTCTCTTCTGTAATGACCTTCCTTTTCAGAGAATTTACACTTCCTGAAATGCAACTACTGTGCTCTCCACAGCCTCTCTGATCAAGGGGGCAGGTGATTTATCAGAAGTATAAGGCCCCTTTTGAGGTGTGATCACTTGTTTCTGTAGGACCTGGATAAACCAGGAGAGAGGCAAGCCAATGTCAAAGTGGTAGCTGTCCTCTTAGCTACTCTATTTTCATTGGCTTTGGCCTCTAAGTACGGCTGTTGTATGCCAAGATCAGTTAAATCAGTCTTGAAGAATGAAGACTAGTTTAAAATTTACTTGTTACAGTGGGACATGGTGGTACATGCCTTTAATCTGAGCACTAGAGGCAGAGGCAGATCTCTGTGAGTTTGATGCCATTCAATGTTACTTAGTGAGACTCATTGTTAAAAGCAAAACAACCTCCCCCTAAACAAACAAAAACACCATCCAACCTACCAATCAAACAAAAAAGCTTATCTTTTTTCTAAACCGGAAATGTATTTAGGTACCTATATCCCATTATATCTCGTTTTCACAATTGCTGGTTACTTTTTGTCTTCCTCCCCTCCTCAAAATTGTTGATGTAATTTGGGTTTATTTTTTTTTAAACCATGAAAGTCTGGACACATCTCATTACTTTAATTTTTTTTGATAGTTTCATACATGTATATATGCAATTTTGGTCATTTTTATGCCCTGCTGTCTCCTATTGAAATCCTTTCCCAACAAGCCCTCCTCCTACTTTCAGGCCTCCTCATGTTTGACCCACTGAGTTAAGTTAGAATCGCTTATTCAGGCATGGGTGGGATGATGTTTACTGGACTGTGGGCAACTGATCAGTGACTATACCACTGGGAAAAATGACACCCCCCCAGCAACCATCAACTGTCAATGATCCTCAGGGAGGGGGTGAGACCTCATGGGACCTTCTTGCATCTGTCATTCAGTGTCAACAGGCAGAGTTTGGAGCAGATAAACATAGCTGCAGTGAATTCATGAGTACAAGAGCTATGTCATGTCTCCCCCTTTCATGCTCTCTTTCATCATGATCCCTGAGCCATGGATGGTATGATATAGATGTCTCATTTAGGGCAAAGCACTCCACCATCACTTATTCTCAGCATTGTGATAGTTATGGGTGTCTACATTAACTGCCACCTGCTGCAGTAATAAGCCTCTCCAATGAAGTTGGGGGAAAGCACCAACCTCAAATGGCAACCAGAAGCTGAACATCTCAGTTTTAAATCTTTTACAAAACAGATCTCCCTGAAGGCTACAAGAGCTTAAGCTATCAGTTATTAGCAATATCTCTTCAATAGCTAACAAATTGTTTTGTGACATTGTACAAAGCCAAATTAATACTATCTTTCTTCACTTTTATAATAAAACATTCATTAGATTTGTTTAAGTCTTATGAATTAAAAGTAATTTAAATTTATATTTACTCTTGTTTACTTATAGACTGATTTGAAGTAAGCATACCATTATAGCATTTATCTACAGGTGGCTCACAAAAATGTCAAATCATATAACTACATGGTAAGACCCTAGTGCTGAAGCTACCCTATGGTTTAGCTGAAGAACATACAGAGAAATCAGTACTAAACTGACTGGGAAATTTCTTATCTTCAGGAAAGCTTCCATAGTGGTGGAAGTTGCTATCCAGGCTGGTGGGGAAAAAAAAGACATCAATAGTCTTACTCAGCACTGCACACTACAATATTGACCTGCCAAGCAAGATATGCCACTGGTACAATAGAGACAGGACTGTTTATGGAGTAACTATCTACTTTCTGATTTTGAGTTTTGATCTACAGGATGAAATGTCATGTCTGATCCTATAATACTGGTCAAAAGTCCATGGTTTGGATGGTCATAGACCATAAAATCATTATTGTTATTTTGCTAAATGATTGCATCATCAAATTGTCATTGAAACATTTATGATCATCTCCATAGACATGAGGTTTTCTCAAACTTGGATAGAGAAGCTTCTTTTTGCAATGTAGAGACTCCTAACTTGTCAACGTGCTGAGAAAAAGAGACTGTGAGTGATTTTCCCTAAATGGAACATCTTTAACAAGCTCAAAAAGTCTCAGGGATTGTTGTGGAAAAAGAGATAGAAAGAATGTAAGAAGAGCCAAAGAATGAAGAAGAGGGAACACATGAACACACAGTAGCTGGTTTTACCTGCATAGGGCCTGCACAAGATCAAACCAATCAAAATTCTGGTGTAGACAAGGGAGGTGCTCTCCAGGGCCCACCCAGTCT